ATCCCACGAAAAAGTTATAAGAAGAGAGAACTACAAACGAATAGTAGTATATCACGCGCTGAACGTGAGAACTGTGAATTACAATTTGGAAGGAAAACTACCTGCGAAGAATCAGAGAAGAGGATCAATTATTTTGTTTTGAACCAATTGGTGAGACCCATACTTCTAATCAGAATCCTGGTCCAAATCCTAACGAGTTTCAACTAAATTGAGAAGAAATAATTTTCAGACCCCCCGCTTTAAAAGTTCTTAATTCTACAACATTTTCGATTTGCCTTCTCCGATAAGCAAAAACAAAACATGACGTTCATGATATTTAATTCAATTCATTGATCGGAAAACAGATGACAGATCCAAATCTTCGGATTCATGAGTTTACACGTCTTCGTTTAGGAAAATTACAGATAAAAGGACCCAAATTTCGTAATTATAATAATAAAAGAGAGAATTGCATTCAAAAGCCCTTTAGAAGGAACATATTTATAAATAATACCAAATGATTTTGCAGATCCAAGGGTTTCATTTACAATTATGTACATAACTAAAATGACCCAATTATCCTTTTTCTCCTCTCTCTTCTCTTTTGAATTCTCTTTCTACTTATAGTGGTTAATGCCCTTATGGCTTTAAACACTCTTGGTTATTCACATCTAATTCATTGTTTCGCAAATGCAAACTCTTTTGAGAAAAGTAAGCCTTGTTTAGTAACTTAATTTGGGAATAGCTTTCTAAAAAACAAAAAAAAAATTATTGATAACATATTTTTTGAAGGAAACAAAACCAAATGTTATTCTAGAAAATAAAAAAACAAAAATATCTTTTAAATATTTTAGAATATTATTTAAACGACAAGGGAGTATGCAAAAAATGCATGTTTTTATTTTTATTTTTATTTTCAGAATATGTTTTACAAAATATTAATTTTTTAATAATAAAAAAAGCGGGTTTCAAACAAGCCCATAAAAAACTTTTCAAAATATATTTATTTAGGAAATTACATTCAATGCAAAGTGGCATTCTTTCTAAAAATATGTCTAATAATATTTTTGGATACACTTGAATTGGATTTAAGCCAAATTATTGTTTGAGTAATTAATATTGTAAATCCAAATCCAAGTCTACTTTAAACTCTTTGTAATTTGAAATCTTTTGTTTCAAATCTTGACTCAATTTCTTTTGTAATTTGACCTAAATTTATAAAGGCTTGATGGCCGCCCACGATAACTAATCGGACCATCAAAGTTGACGAAACAAGCTGCCACTGTTGACATGTACTGTTTAGATATTAAACAAAGCATGATTCAAAATTTACAAGTTCAAATATTCACAAATAATAAGATTCATAAAGTGACAAGTAAAAGTTTAGATTTTTTCCAATTAAAGGTTCATGTTTGACAATTTCAAATTTATATATAATAAGTAATTATTATTTCTTGACACATATCTTTCATTTATCTTTTGGGAAACTAATATTCTTTATCCACTATGTAAATGTAAATGCAAATGCAAATGGAATTAGTAATTATTTTAGGATTGTGTGAACATTGTCTTAAGTTGCTTTTTTTGTCACTTTTGTAAAATGTAAATTGTAGGGAAAATTTTGGAGAATGGACCTAAAAGTTGTAAGGGAGATAATTGGACTTTGTTTTCTTTATGAACCTTCTATTGTAAAATTTTTTCAATTAACTTATGCTGCTTATCAACAATCAAAACCACATGGGCATGATAGATGAACATCTTGTTGGAAAATGATCAGACTTTGATTGTTATTTATAAATAGTCTATTATAAATTTCATTTAAGTATCTTGTGAAAAATATACCAAAATTTTTTCACTATAATTTACATTTTACAACACTGACCCCAAAAAGCTACTCGAGACAGCATTGACACAATCCTAAAGCAATCTCACTTTTATTTACATTTACATGTTGGATAGCATATTAGTCTTAAGAGATATGAAGTTGTCAAAAAAAAATGAATAATTGCTTGTTAAAATGTGTACTTGAAGTTGTCAATATGTCAACAATCATTAACTATAAAATATGAACTTTTAAAGGTTAATATGCAATTTGAAACCTGAACTATAAATTTAGGACGATTTAAACCTAAACTTTTAAAAAATACATTCTGAACTCTAAAGAATTAAAATTGAGGGCAATTGCAGTCCCACTATTAAAATTTGAAACAAACGTTTGTCAGTTTTTTAAAAATGAAGTCTGATATTTGATTTTTATCAAATGAGAGTAAGAGAGAGGGATAGTGAATTTTGTTCAATTTAGCACAATTACCTAACTTTAATTATTTAGGATTCAAAATGTACCTTTTAAAAGTTAAGGTTCAAATCACTTTTGGATTTTATAGTTCAGCGTTTAAATCATATACTAACCAAACTTTTAATTGTCACTTTATAAACTTTAACTTGAGAATAGCTAAACTAAAGCTTGTCAATGTATGAATTTTTACTTGCAAGTAATTGAATTTAGACTTGTCAACATGTGACCTTTTTTTGTTAATATTTGAACTCAAAGTTGGCAAAATCTAAGCAATTACTTTATGTGATTTAATAGTTGTGTAGATTGATTGCATTGTTAATTTCTGTAGGTTTATAAAGTGGCTAAGGAGAAATTTACAATAGAAGGTTTATAAATAACAATCAAAATCCAATTATTTTCATTAACCATTTAAGCCTGTATATGCCCCCCAATAAAAAGTGTTGAAAATTTAAGAACTAATCATTCATTGGATTTTTTGATACAAATTTGAGCTTGATGAAGTTGAATAGATAGATGCTTTTTTTCTTGTTACTTGGAGGCTCACTCATCATGTCTAAGATCAATGCTTGTACCTTTGCTTGTGAAGTCTTCTATTCTTTTGCATCCCATTCTAGTATTCTGCAACAAGTGACCAAATTCATATAGGTAGTGGCAAATTTAAGACCTTTAGGTTAGGGGAGCACAAGGACAAACTATTAGAATTGAAATTCAGTAGGGTCAAAATATTAAAACTAGTAGGGTTCAAAATTATATTTTTACATACCTTGCATGTAATTTTTGTAAAAGTGAGTGGGGATAAGTTACCCTTACTACAATGTAGGTTTGTTACTGCATATAGATCTATTTGAAGAATGAATTTCACTTTATATTGAGTGTAATTTTCCTAAACTATTTTTTTTTATGGTATTTACCTTTCTTTGAAGTTTATACTTGCAAAACAAAGTGACCTAGAGCTTATACAAATAACTATGATGCTAGAAGTGCTTATGGCCCTAAAGTATCGACCACTTTGAGTAGAAAGAGCAAATAACTTCGAGTAGAAAGCGCAAATTGAAAGATGAAAAGAAAGAAGGAAGAGAGAGGAAAGAAAAAGAGATGGATGAAGCGTAATTAGGTCATTTTAGCTGGGAACATAATGTCAAATAATGTCTTTGGGCCTGCAAAGGCATATCATAATCATTTGGGTCATATTTATAACTATATTCCTTTTAAGGGTCTTGAGTGCAATTCTCCCATAAAACAGAACATATTTTTTACGAAAAGGAAAAAAGAAAAGATATATTTTTTACAAGGAGATAACGAGGCTAGACAAAAAAAATAGGAGAATTACTTTGAAGTTTCAGATAATATATTTAAATATTATAAAGTCTATCAATAATTTTATAATATTTTAATATGTTATGTGAAACTTATATATAATTTAAAAAAAAAAAAACAAATCTATACATCTATTTATTTATTTATATTTTTTTGAGTGAAAGGAATTTCATTAAATAAAATTATATATGCAATATATACAAGAAAGTAAAAAACAATTATATTAGACATTTAAATGTAGAAAAAGACCTATATTTATTTATATTTATCCTGTCTAATCCTTTCCCACGGGGAAGGAGGTTTCACACAACCGCGCCACACACAAACAACATCACCCTACACACGCATCCAATATAATTTTTCTCCCTCGATCACTTGGGAATTTGATCCGATGACTCCATGCATCAAGGAATATGAATCATGCCAATCGAGCTATAAGCACTCGGCCTATATATCCATTTATTGCAGGTCCTTGGAAAGTTCAAGATAATGTTGCTTTTGTAAATAATAAATAAAAAAAATTAATCATTTTATTTTTGTAATTTTAATTCAATTATAACTTAATTTTAAATTTTAACTTGTTATAATTCAGTTTTTTAGAGTTTTAATTTAATTGTAGCTTAACTCTTGAATTTTTCTTCTTGCAACTCAATCTATATAGTTTTATTATTTAAATATTGGTCCTTAGCTATATTTTAAAAAATAAAATTATATAAATTAAAATATTTTAAACTTTTAATATCTATAAAGATTAAAAGGATTTATTAATTTAAAATATTAGTAGTAAATTTTAACATAATTTTAATCTTATATATATATATATATAAGATATAGGGACCGATATTTAACTGATTAAAAATACGAGAATTGAGTTTCAAGAGTTAAAATTTAAAAACTGAGTTACAGTCAAGTTAAATTTTAAGAACTAAATTATAATAAATTAAAATTCATAAATTTGAGTTATAATTGAATTAAAACTATAAGGATTGATTAATTTTTGTTAATAAATATAAACAAAAAAATAATTAAATGAAAACTTGTGAATAACTCAACGGAGCTAATTTTTGATATTTCACTTGTTAAAAAACACTTGACAAAATGGTGATTTAAAAGATTTGTTGTACAATGGTTAATTCAGGCTGGACAGGTTTGTTTGAATCCGACTCAAGTTTAGGACAGGTAAAATACCATAATTTTATTAAAGATTATTTTATTTTCTTTTTCCGTTTTTAAATTGTGTATCACATTCATGACGGTTAGATTACACGTACGGTGCAGATGGCCTCAATGAGACGCACTGCAGGCCAAAGCAATGGACGTGATATGCTTCACCTTCCATGGCGGGGTATACTTCTCCCGCCAATTTTGTTCAATGCACCAGATTCCCTCCTCGACCCCAACATCTTCTCACAGTTCTCCCTCCGTCACTTCTCATACCTACCATTTCTCAAGTTCGCAAGCGGGCAAAAATGGACAAATATCTAGTCAATTTCAAATCCTCCGCCGAAAGTGCTCGCTCTTTCGGAAGGTAAAACATTTGTTCCGAATATACTGAAGTTTCTTGTGTAGTTGACAATTGTTGTGAAATCTTGTTTTGGTTGAAAGGCGTATTTGGGAAAGGCAAGCCATAGAAGTAAATGGAAGATTCGATCCTAATTATCGACATCAGATGTTTGATATGTTAGTTCGTTCCTATTCTGAGGTTTGTCAAGTTTTGTTTAGGTTTTCTGTAAATTAATCTAGTTTGGTGTTTGAGCACACTGTTTGTTGATTTTTGCTTGAATTTGATAGTAGTTGAAGTTTAATTGGCGATGCTTAATTCTGTCAAGGTTGGGGCTTTCCCGCATTTGTATCATGTGAATGGAAATGGAGAGCCTTGCCAATCTCATGTATGTGTTATTCAAGTCATGAAGTTTTCGTCTAGTAAGTCTATATATGGATTTCTTTCACTTCCATTATTTATATTTAGCTAATGTCTTTGGCATGCTGTCCAGGTGAATCGACTTGCAAGTGAGGCAAATACTGATCACAGCGTGTTTTTTAGGAAGTTAGTCTCCAATTCTTTCTGTCTAGTGAAATCCATTCTGATCGTTATGCAACGTGTATTCAATTCTGTCTGCGGTGATGATTTCCAGTATAAAAATTAACTTCATTTTTTTTTCTAACAGGCAAGGCATCTCTGCCGTAGACTTTGACAAGAAGGTAATATATAGGCAAGTCGTTACCTCTGCAATCATGAAATGTAACAAAGTTAGAATGAATTGCTGATACAGCTAGCAGTTGAATAGCATTGCAAATTTCTAATAGCCCTGTTAAATACTTGTTGCTAGATTTGAACAATCAATTCTTTGTAGATCAGCTGTTCTTCCATGAAAAGTATAGGATTTTTTGTATGAAATTGTAAATCATAGTGTAACTAGGTTTCATAGATAGTTGACTTGAAAATTTGATTGGCTGATCAAATGTCAAAGCCTATGACACCGAGTTGAAATGTTTACCAATGTTGACACACTGATCATTGTGCACTGTAATTTTTGCGCAAATTTCTTGCATCTATAATTATGCTTTTTTAAGTGAATTTTCTTTTTGTTTATTGCAAGGGAAACATGGTTAACTTTATGAAATTCTTGATGGTATTCTTTTCTGTAATTTTTTCATTTTATACTTTAATGATTCATTCATATTATTTTTCGGCTGTGTTCTAGGGAATATACCTGGTCTCTGTGACAAAATCAGGTTGCTTAACAGTTCATGACTTTGAATCCCTATATTGCCGGATACATGAGTTAAAATGTAAGTTCTTCTTTGACAGTTTTCTGTTTTTAATAATTTCTAAAATGCTGTTCTGATTAACAAATTCCAAGTGCAAAGCAACAAAAATTGTCCATGCTCTGTGAGCCCAATCCTTGATTTCATACATTCTTGGGAATTAGAACACAATTGTGTTGTCGTCATCATTATTCTTTCATTAATTTTCCTGGTAGGCTTGGAAGAAGATGAAAGCAAGCATGTAATGCATCTCTCACTAAATCGGCAACTTGATGTTGTACAATGGAATCCACTTAACCAGGACGAGGTTTCAACTCAGTTAAAATTTATTCTTATTCAGCATTTTACATTCAAGATTATGATTGAAGATAGTTTACTTGAATCTTATCTACCACAAATTATGGAAATTGCTTTGATTTTAACTTTCCTCTGTAGTATTCTCATAAATCAGAACCCTTTGCTATTTGAAGTTAGTGTCCACATGGACCTCTCACACATTTTGCTGTTTTAGGTTGTCTGTGCATCTGTAAAAAGTAATGAAGTACTTATATTTGATGTTGGCTATATCTCTTCTGAACCAGTTGAAGTAAGTCTCCACTCTTATATAATTTTATTCTCCTCTCTTTTATTCTGCAATCATGGATTTTATTTTTTACATTGTATATCTTTCATGAATCAGAACATGTTTCTTCTGTTATTCACAATCAAATTGGTCCAATACTTTAACCTTTGCAGACCACAATTATGATTTTTCTCTCTGAATCTATCATACAGGTTTTAAGAACAAGACAAACAGCCACAGTACATGGATCTAGCATTCTCAAAGGTCTATCTGATATTGCCCTCATGTCAAATGACTCAAAGTGAGCGAGGCCTTGATTTAATGGAACTAATTTTGTTTTCACTAAGATGACAGGAACTGCTTGTGTTGGTACATTGAATAATGAATTTGTGATTTAAATACTTATGATGTCTAAACTTATAAATTAAATATGGTCCTGTTGACAAAATATTCTCACCATTTTTCTTATTTTTATGTCGAATTTGATTTTTTAATATGTCTATCATGACAACTAAAAGAGTGATGGGTATGTGCTTGTTTGACTGATAATCGTTGTTGCTTTCCTGTCCCTTAGTTTGATTGTGTTCCTTGCATAATCATACATAAAATAGTTTGGAGGCATTCTACAATGATGTTTCATACTTAGTAGATGTGCTTCAACAGAAAATATAGCTTGCTTGAAATGTTCGATTGAGGGTTTTACATCTCTTTGAGAAACATGACCTTGTGTTTTTCCTAAATCCTAATCCTTCATGATTCATCAAGTTATATATTTATCTATTTATTTTTGACATCATACATGAAAGCTTCAGGGCCTTTCCTTCCAATTTGGGATGTTACTAAGCTATCTGTTGTTTTACAAAGTCATGGTAACGGATGGTAGTAAGACCAATCATTTATAGTTCTTTTTTTTTGGGGTGAAAAATTGATTATAGTTCTGACACTGCAGTTCTATGCTTTGTTGGTTATTTTCGCCAGGATACTTGCTTCTGATACACATGGTGGAATCAATGTATGGGATAGAAGAGTGAAAGCTCTCCCTTGTCTTGAGCTTGCATCTAGTTCCTCTGGTATGCTTAACAGCATCCAATTAAATGCAGAAAATCAGGTTAAGTGTTGTGTCTATATTCTATAATGCAGTATTTTATGCTTTTTCTCAAATTTGGGTGTTAATGTCTGATGTTTCTAAAACTTTCCTAACGTAGATTGAATTGAAATAGTTCCAGAAGCAGGCAAGTTTATCTCCAAGTTCAAAACTTTTATATTGATTATATTGAAAAAGAAACTGTTTTTTCAAAAGTAAATTACCATATTTATAATGAAATAAGCAATTTAATGGACCAAATGTCTAAATGTGTTTTCCAAAGGCTGATAAACCACGTTTCCATTGCCCCATTGTCAAGTCCTGAGAATCAGGGTATTTTGAAAAATACACATAATCACAAAACTCCAGTTGATGGCACACATGAATTGCACTTGTGGTTTTGATTTCCACATGTTTTGATAGATGTCTTATTTTGTTCTGTATATTCAATACTTTGAGAAATTATTGACAAGGAATGTTACCTTTATTCCAGATCATCTTTGGTGCTGGGAAGGATGGAATGGTGTATGTATGGGATATTCGGGGTGGAAGAGCATCTTCTACTTTCCAAAGTCACAAAGAGGTTGTAGCTGAGATTGTGTAACTGCATATAGTTAGTTGATATTCATTATATTTAAGAAGGGAGAATAAGAAAGGATTGAAGATTCAAGGCTTTTTCTGTGGCTGAAGCAAATTGCATGCAAGTTAAAAAGCTTAGTCAGTTCTAAAGTCTGTGACTTTGACATAATCAATAATATCTCTTGAAGTTAAGCATGTCTTTCATGGTTGAGAAAGAGAATAAATCGTACCATGCAAGCTAACAGCTGCCACAAGTTTTGTTCATTTTAAATTTAGTTGAGATAAAGACTTGTTTGAAACACAAAAATGAGTTCCTATATCGTAATCAAATTGGTCCATTGTAAGGATCTCAAGCTCACTGTATATATTGCATATATTGAAATACTGCTTTACTCTTATATTTTGGGTGTCCATAAATTATTAGATATAAGCTTGTGACATCTTAGTTGTTGTGTAACATAAATTTATGCCTTTATGGTGTTAACAACATTATCCCCATTCTATGATTTGCAGCACAAGATGCTTGCAAATTATATTTGTTCCTCGTTTTAATTAAGCATTGATTTGTTGGCTGTGTCAATTACAAGATGTATTCTATAATATGTAGCTTTCTTATTCTGATTTAACTTCCATTTAGGCATGCCATCCACCTATGATGTCATTGAGATTGGCATCGCTGATGGATAAGATTGAATCTCTGAAGGTAATATTCATTGCACTCATTTCTGTTTTTACAAGTTTAAACTGGAGCAGAACTTCTTCCTCATTACCATGTGTGGCTGATACAGATTTCTAATTTTAAAATCTGTACATATATAGGCTTTATATTTGGTTCTGTAAGATAATAATTCGTTAAGCTTGGGTTTAGTATCTGGGGAAGGTAAAAAAAATAGAAAGCCATTGGAGATAAATAGTGCTAGAATCCAAAAATCACTATTATTCTAACTTCAGTTATGCTAATAACCTAAATGAAGAATCTCAAGTACAAGACACAAATTACGAGTTACCTCCTATACAGCCCCTACATCTATTTATAAAACAGAAATAGACTCCTAAACACACAACTACAAGCATGCCATAACTGCTGTTAACTGGTACAGCGTGCTTTGCAGATGACTCCCTCTCCCACTCCTAGTACTGTGCTGTCCTGAAATGGCACTTCTCTACTACTTTCTCTTGTTAGGCCTTCTGTTGCTCCAACTGTCCATGTGCCCTTGAAAATTCACCCTGCCATTATGGTAACGGGAAATTGCTCTGATGAAAGGAGCTAGATTTTACAATTGGATCTTGATCATGTGATGGACCATCACCATGCTTCAACAGCCTGTTATATTTGCAACCGTGGCTTTTGCAGGTGACAAACTTAAGCCACCTGACAAGGGAGTTATACAGGCACGCAGAGACAGTGAGACAAAACCCTCTGTTGCAGAAGCAATGCATTGACAGAGCTTTGACATTCAGCTTAGATATTGAATCAACGTACAAAATGAAAAGTTATGACAAAGACCGTCAAATGATTCTTTACAGAAAGGAATTCATTCCAGCCAGAAATGTGCTATTCTTAGGTTATAATAAGAGCAAATAAATGTCTCAATTCTATCTTATTCATCTGGGTTCCAGCATTCAGCAATGTGCTATTTAATATTTCATGCTCTCATTGACAAATCGTAACTACATAGTAAATGAAGATTTCATATTTAATGCAATAGCTTTGTAGAAAATGTAACTTAACTACTTATACTTAGTTGTCAAAGAAGATCCTAAGGTCCACCAGGTTATAGGATATAATAAGACGTTGAGATTGTACTACAATACTATTTATTGTGCATGCTTTAATTTATGCTAAACCACAGATATTGTTATGCAGGCGCAATCTGATATCATTCCAAAGGAGATACACTCTATCAATCTTAATCCATCTTGCCCATATCAGTTGGCATTCCACCTTGATGATGGCTGGTAAGTTCTCTCTAGAATCCTATAGACTAGTTAGCTCTCAACAAACTAACTACTAGTTACAACAGCCATCTATTCCTTCACATATTAATAACTTAACATGTTCTTCCGTCTTTAAGATAGTTTTTTTTGAAAGTGCTTGATTTCTATCTCTCCAAGAATTATAATGAGAATTTTCATTATTCTATGCGTACAGAAACTACCATTATTTTAGCAAGGATTAAGGCTCTAAAATCATGGGATTTTATGTAGTTATCACTTATTGTTACTAGATAATGTTATGCCAATATCAGTAGTTGTATTTGATGTCATCATGATGTACATCTAACTTTGTTTCTTTATATTGAATTTTATGAAGTAATTGTTTCCTATCATTTTTTTTTTTTGGGATAAGTCAGAAAGAATTGTTTACCATCATTTCTGATTTTTAGTTAAAATTTCCATAATAATTTGACGTAGGTCAGGCGTTCTGGATATTTATAATCTTAAAGTCACGCATATTCATTGCCCCCCACCTGCTTGGTTGTAAGTTCATAACATTTATTGCTCTTCTACTGTTTATCGAAAGGCCTTCCGTACGAAATCTAATTTTGTATTTACTGTCCGTTTCTTGTTAGAAATGATTCTTACGTTTCAGCTGAGCCATCATATATTAGAAAACCATCATGGTTATCCGCATGTTCGGTGAGAATTTCTAATGCACTTTTCTTGTTGCACTTGTACATTTTCACCTGAGTCGTCTTACCTGTTTCAGTTTGTTTTCTTTCTTTTTTCTTTTGTATTTTTTGTTATGGTACTTTTTTAGTTGTGGAAGCTGCTTGTATTATTTTGAATAAACTTCAAAAGGGAAAATGACAATTTGAAAAATAATAAAACTCAAAGACCCTCAATTTGAAAAATGACAGCTGAGGGTTGATGTAACACTTGCCCCGAGTGTTATCCAAAAATCACACAATTCAAATAAACTAAGTGTGGTTAAAGAGTTAATCCTAAAACCAACTTAGGAAACAAACCACTTAAATCACTAAGCAAATATACGATTGCAAAGTAAACATTTAAAACCTTAAAAAAATTATAGGTTCTAACTATAGCGCACGGAAGCAAGTTAGACGAAAAAGAAATAAAAAGATACTGTCATGACAGCATTTAAATTGCTGTCATGACAGCCCTCCCGAGTCAACTTCTGGGAGGCGTCGTTTCGCCATCCGACCTCCGATCGAAGTGATTTTAAAGCTCACACGTCACATTCAAAGGGTACTATAAGTATAGCAAATTTCAAAAAGATCCAACGGTCGGATTTAAAATTAGACATGTTAAAAATTTGATTATTTTTGCTGTCATGACAGCACTTCCGGACCAACTTCCGGAGTGCACCATTTCATCATCTGACCTCCGATCGGAGTGATTCCAAAGCCCACATGTCACTTTTAAAGAATACTATTAGCATACTAAATTTTGAAAAGATCCAACGGACGGATTGAATTTTGTGCAGGTTATAAAATCAATACTGTAGCTGTCATGACAGCAATTTAATGCTGTCATGACAGCACCTCCAGACCAAATTCCGGAGTGCGTCGTTTCTCCGTCCGATATCCGATCGACGTGATTCCAAAGCCCACACGAAGCTTATAAAAGGTTTTACTTGTGACCCAAATTTTAGAGAAATCCAACGGTCGGATTAAGATTTGGACACCCGGATGCAAAAGTGCAGCTTTTTGGTAAAAACCATTTTCAAAATTGTCCAAATCTCATCCTAATGGTCACAAACCTGTGGAAACACTTTGGACACGTCAAATAAGATTAAAAACACCTAATAGAACATTCAAATGATGAAAACCCCCATACATCAAAATTTGACCACCCGGGTGCCATTTCCCAAAATGGACCCTAAACCCCCAAAATGCACAAATCATACAAGAGTGGTCACAAATCAATCCAAATACCATGTATTTATATAAATACATATGCTAAACATTTTCACTTGGCTCAGAGCTCCTTGTGGGGCCCACGCACCCACTCTCTCTATCCAAGCTGTATGTTTGCCCATAGACACCATTTGCAATGCAACCACTTTGCATTTGCTTATAAAATCACATATATATCAAAATAAAGATTTGCTTGTAATAGAAACTTGGTCTACTAAGTAAATCCATCAAAACCACACACCATAACCAAGTTTCCTAGCCACAAGTCTGCAAACAGACAAAAATTCATACACAAGCACACAATCCACACATATTCACACACACACACATAATCATATCCTACTGGCACCCTAATCTTAAATACATTACAATATATTTGCTCAAAAGAAAGGGGTTGCAGTTCTTTACAAATCACAAGCAAACCCCTAGCTTTGCTCCTTTCCCGTCCACCACTGGATCCTTCGCCTGGACCTAGAATATTGAAAAGAAAGGGGTGAGACAACCACAGTCTCAGTAACAGCGAAATTTACATTGATTATTACAAAGTAAGCCATAATCAAATAAACGAATAATAAATTCAACAGAGTATATAATTTAGCCATTTAAAATGCATGAATGCATGACCTAGGCCGGTATGGCCTTTCATGACCAACAGAATGCCCCCTGGCACTCTTTAACTCGCAGTAAACCTTATACCTACTTATACCTCCACAGGCACAAAACATAATCTAAGGCATGATCTAATTCACTGAACCGCCTATGCCCCTTCGACGTGAATCCTGAGCAGTCAAAGCTAACTCCCTCCCAGAGCCAGCCCGACTTACTCTCCATGTGAGGGCTACCTTGGCCTAGGCACTCAACCTCACACTTCATATGTCGGATTCCCTCCCCCACTGAGAGGTGTCGAACACTCAATACACTAACCACTTTAGTGCACTGAGCCCACAATACGTAAGACAACACTGAGTACTGACAGTGTGTCATAGAATATCAAAAATCCACACCTTCTCATTGGTGAACTCCCACCGAGATCATGCCTTTTACTCTTGTCTACCTTTCCTGAGTATTGACCATTCAACACTCTAAAGTAGTATAATATTTATAAATCTCATTTCCATAAAAACATTGTTATTAAACAATTAGAAAACATATTTGCACTATAATCAAAGTAGTACCCCATAACCCCTTATAAAGCACATTTAATCTTTTAAAACATGTAATGCATGATAACTAGTAATATTTATTCAAAAATAGCTAAAACAAAGTAATAAGAAATATAAATTTCCCTGTTACCTCAACCCTTTGGTACTAAAAGGGTTCCCCTTGTACAAAATAGGGCTCGGCTTGTTCCTTACTTCTCAATAAGTTCCACCAACAATTTTCTACAACATATAAGTGATTCACATCACTTATCATGACAAATAGCATTAATGAAGACTATAACTCATACCACACAACTTAGGTCAATGAGTCATAATCCACCCTAATGGTCCATATATTAAACCAACCATTCACATAGTATCACTTAACCACCAAAACCATTTATTAGCCATCACTAGGCTAATTTTCAATTTATATAATTTTTTAATTAATTAAAAACCTTTACTTAGTGCCACCAACTTTCACCATTAGCCCTTATAATGAAAACCAAACCTTAATTTAAATCTTATTGGGTTCAAATAGCAAAATTATAACTAAATCAATAGGCTTAAACCATTGAGGAGCAAAAACCCAATTTCTCAAGGTTTATTTTGTGCTCAAAACACCTTTTTTCATCCAATTATTCACTCAAAACATTAGATCACTATATAGAAACTCAAAACATGCTCCCTAGAATCCAAAGAAATAAAAGCTTACAAGAATAAAGCCTTTGGGATCAAAATCCAAAAATTTTCTCTTCCAAAAATTGAAGAAAATCAAGAGAAAGAGAAGAGGATTGAAGTAGGGAGTTTACCTATCGTGTAGCCGAGCTCGCAACGGTCGCAAAGACTCCTAGATCCAAGCCTAACTCCCTCCCTTTCTCTTCTCTTCTTCCTCTCTCCCTCTCATACGTTTCCTTTCCTTTCCAATTCAATTTCTGCGTTTCTGCATCAATTTTGGTCTTTAAATTGCTGGTCAAAAAGTTTGGGGAAAATTACAAGAAAGGGCCCAACATTTTTTATGATTGCACAAAAGCCCGGTTCAACTTTGGTAATTTTTCCCATAGTTAAAAATCAAATAAAACCAAACTTTTTCTTAGTAAAATTCAAACTCTGGGCCTCTATTAAATTATTCTAAATTTTAATTTAATTATAGATATTTTATTTTATTTTTATTTTTTTTAAATAAATTTGAGTCTTAAAATTTTTAGGATGTTACAGTTGAGATCCTAGATTTTATAAACAATTCTATGGATCAAAATTCAAAATACCCCTACTCGCTCAGAAACGTGGTGACGTTTACAAAACAGAAGTTCAATTGTTAAAAACTAATCTTCTATTATTCGCAATTGTATTGTTCATGATTTGTGATTAAACTTCTAGATCTTACAAGTCAAATTACACCAAAATTTTGAAAATGGGTTTTGAATAGTCTTCAGCTAAGTTTTGTGTATTTATAACGGAACTTCTAATTGCTGTAACTAAGTTTCTAGTTCTGACAAGTTGCCACGTTTTCAACCGAGTAGGAGCATGCTAGTCCTTGAAAATTTTTGTGGGAAAAAACAATAAAAGTCCTTGGTCATTAATTTTCATTTCTTAAATTGGGGATCATCGAGTGTCATTATTTTCCCTATAGAGGTCCCCTTTTTAATTACTTTATGGACCTGCAAGCACCCTTTTTTTAATTTTTTGCTCAAGAAAACATGAAATAAGTATTTGCTGTAACGAAGTGCAGATCTATGTAGTTGGTTCATCATCAGAATGTGGCATTCATCTCCTGGATTTCTATCCCAGCGCAAGTTCATCATGCCATGTGGATTTCAAGTAAGGCACTGCGACATTGAGAACATAAACTCAAATACTTCATCTGAGTTATTGTCTTGCTGTAAAATATGATTGAGACTTGCATATACTTACAAGAGATCTTTATGTTCTATATATCTTTTCATACCTATGAAAGTATCTTCATCTATCAAAATTTGCTAGGTGCATAAATTTTGCTCTTTATATGTACACTCCCTCCTGTCCTATTTGTAAGGCGAGGAGCAAAGTTTTTTTTTTTTCCTTTATTTATAAGTCACATCATTAACTTTTATAATTTTCTCCTTTTACCCTCTATCAAATGTTGGTAAGAGACAGTATGCTATTTAAGATATATTCTGAGACTCGTGACGCTGCTGTTAGTAATAATGGTCCCACACAGTAGGGTTTCGGATTAGTCTAAGTGGGAAGTGGTAATACCTCAGGTTTCCTAGGATATTAGGTGATGAAATAAAAAAAAAAAAAGAGATATATTTAATTGGGATAAGATGAAAAACTTATTAAATTTTTGGATAGAATTCATGAGTTTTAAAGTTTTCCTTAATCTTGGTGAATTATTTTGGAAGTGTTGTAAATAGAACCAGATGAGTGTATATATACATATATATATATTAACTACCTATTAAAACTTACTTTCAGGGAGGATAAACAGGAAATGTCGGGAGTGAAGAATCAAAACAGATTTGTTGGTTTATCTGAAGGAGTAACTGCATGTGCTATTCATCCCTTATATAATGCCATCATAGCTGGTACGAAGTATTCATCTTTGCTCATGATTTCCCAGAAACGTGAGTCATACAGAGGTGGAGATTATTAGTCTCCATCATTCATTTTCGCTTGTTTATTCTAGCTGCTCTATTAATGTCTTATCCTCTTGCAAATGAGTTAGTCTTTGTAACAAGTCCAGTTTCTCTCCTCTACGTGTCTCATCTGAAACTGTTAAATTCAATCATTGGATGGTCCAACAATGTAGCGGACAGTTCACTTAGCGGAGGGATAACTTTAGTCAGTGTAGCAAGCATTTAGATACAATATTTTCTAGTTCCAATCTCCAAATGGTACTGTGTCTGGGAAGAAAAGAAACCACAAAATAAAACTCATGGGCATGAAAGACTACTTTACAACATTATCTGAGTATGTAGCCGTTGGGCTGCGCATTCTTGCAGATCTCAGACATGCTTGATGAAAGAGTTTGCAATCTAAAGCCATCGCCTTCCTACATTTAATCTCCTGTAAATTGTAAATTTCTGGAACTCTGCTTGAAGCAGATCTCCCCAATCTTATATCTTATTGGGTATTACGACCCAGCAATTCAAATCTGAATGACTATTTCGCTTATTACCAGAAGAATGTCTCACCTTGCTGCTCCTCTCAGATTTTGATTCCTTTCATGCCACTGCCCTTTAAATTCCCAAATTACATTAGTGGGATGCTGCACAATGATACTTTGATGCACTGCCATGTTCCTTTTGTGGCAATAAACTTTATAATAATAATAATAATAATAAAGGAAAATATATTTGCAAGTTCTTATAATTTTTCTTCAATTTTAAATTAAGTCATTATAGTTTTTTTTTTTATTGATTCCTTGTGGTTTGATCAATTAAAATTTTTAACTCTTGAGAAATAAAATCCTTGAATTATTTAAAAAAAAAACAAAAATAAGAACTTTTATAATTTTATTAAATGATTATATAACTTTAGAATTAATTACATAATTGTTATAACTCTTAGGTTGTCTTTTAAATAGTCTTTATGTTTGTAGAATGTTCATAAAAAATTTATAAAAATTTAAACAGGAAAAAGTGTACTAAATCAAATTTTCTTTTTTTTTTATTTTAGTTGAAAGTATTAAATTAAATTTTCTATAAACTCTAAAATTATTTTTTGTGAAATTTAATAATTCATTATTAGTTTAACCTTCATTGATTAATAATTTAATAGATCTTCAACATTGAAAAAAACTATAAGGACCTCCAAATTAATTCTCCTCAATAATAATAATAATAATAATAGAGATATAATTTCCAACCTTTTGGGTTTGGTTTGGATGGAGGAAACCTAGGAAGAAAATAGGGAGGGAAGAGTTAGAAGAAATTCCAAAATTAATAATTTTTTTAGTATTTTTTAAAAATTTCTCTTCTAATTTCCTTCATCTTTTCACATTCAGAAGTAAGATCAGGGATAAGAATATTTCAATCATCCATTGTGGCCGGCTAGCTTGAACAGCTACAGAAGATTTAATGGAAAGTCAAAGTGCTACAGACCATACTGCCTTAACGCTAAGGAATGAGAAGAAAACATGATCTAGAGATTCATTTTCTAGGCAACTAAAAGGACAGAGCCAAAAAAAAAAAAAAAAAGCACAGTGACAGCATTCAAATGATGAGCTCTAAAAAGTTCGTTGGCCGGGAGAGAATTACGCAGTAATTTCAATGTTTGAAGCAGATATTTGATAACAAAAAAAAATATAATTCGTGAAAAAAATCACATTATTTATAACCAATAAAGCACATAAAATTTATAAAAAAAATCATATCATCTGTAAGTTATAACTAATATAATTTTTTTTGAACTCTATATAACCTTTTTTTAATTTTTAAACTTTGTTAACTTAGTTCAAAAAGATGAAGTTCAAACAATATTGCAATGTTGGAGAATTTTTTCAAGTGCACGAAAGTTGTTCAAAGAAAAATTTTTGTTGCATCTGCTTTAAGACAATGATATCCTTGTCATGCGTCAATTGTTGTCTATTGCAATTCCAAATTCCAATGTTAGCTTCAATTTTCATCATAGATAATTGCTCCCTGTTTTAACAACAAAATTGTATTACTGAGTCTACATTCAATTTGAACAGCATAAATTTGAAATTTTTCATTTCTGATTTTTTAAATTAAAGAATTGTGTTTATATTACATTTGGTTCTTCCTGAAATAATAATAATAATAATAATAATAATAATAAAAAATAACAACATCCATATTCCTGAACCAAATTCCAATGTTAGCTTCAATTTTCATCATATATAATTGCTCCCTGCTTTAACAACCAAATTGTACTGAAATTTTTTTTTTTAAAATGCATTTCAAGTACTGAGTCTATATTCAATTTGAATAATCTAAATTTGAAATTTGGCATTTCTAATTTTTTAAATTAAAAAATTGTGTTTATTTTACATTTTGTTCTTACCGAAATAATAATAATAATAATGAATAACATAAAATCCACATTCCTGGAACCAAAATTGAAAGACCTCGAGCTCATATTCCTAAGCAGCCATAGATGCGGAGGGAGAAGTAAACAATTGATGTACTGATGATATATTTGTGGATCTGGTTGCACACAACCACTGCCTTGGGGTTCCATAATCATCATCACTCACTCTTGGCACATGCCAACTACCATTGGCTGATTCCTGCAGTTCAGTTATATTAACCACAAATGTTAATCCTCCATTCCATGAACAGCATCTATTCCCTCCATTTTATATTATAAAGCATTTTTTCAAAAAAGTTAGGAAAAATACAGCTTTTAATCTCTGTACTTTGCTCCCATTTTGTTTTTGATCTTTGTACTCTCTCTTTTTTTTTTTGTGTTTTAGGTCCCTACACTTTTGTTTTTCATTATTTTCAGTCCCTTTATAAATAAAATTTAGGAACCTTAAAGGGACCAAAAATAACAAAAAACAAAAATATAGAAACCTGAAATACTGAAAAAAAAGGCACAAGGATCAAAAGCAAAATGAAAGCAAAATACAAGGATCAAAAACTATGTTTTTCCAAAAAGTTATATGTTTTAATATGTAAGATATTTTACAGAATTTTAAGATCAATTAATAGCTCTTTTTTTTTCATCTAAATGTCCTTAGGAGTATATCAAAACCGCTTGCCTAGGAGAAGTAATCATTATAAACAAATAATCAATAATTGGTATTAAAGGCAAAGTTGAAAAACATAGAGGCTCTTAAAAGGTACTGAAAACCAGACTACTCTTTGAATTGGTTCATGGCTTAATAACCAAAATTGTAGTTGAAGTGTGATCAAACCAATCATCCACAAAGCATTTTATTAAACCGATCAAGACACAAGTTTAATAGGTTAACCGGGCGGTTTGACTGAGATTTCCATGCTCTTAACTGTTTATCTTGGCAGATGTGCATTGGGTAAGAGTTTCATATAATATGAAACCAAGGGAATATCGATAAAGTATGCAGAAAGGCTCCATTTTATCTGTTTAAAATTTTTCTAATGTGGAATCAGCCCATGTTTCTTCATAGCAAGCCCCGATTCCGGACGAAAGAGAGTTAAGTCCTTAACTGTCAATATAAAACAGATTTAACCTATATGACATGAGAGTATGGCAGAATAGAGATATATAAATGGGAGCAAATCCTCTAAAACTGAGATCTGAGATCCATGAATTTATGTAAAATTTTCCTTTCTTGATATTTTCCCTCATTTTATTATTTTTTATAAGACAAAATCTTTTCCCTTTTCCTTGTAAAAGGTAAACTTCAAGTAATTCATGAATTTCCAACTTCAGAGGATCCACTCCCTAAATAAACCAACTCCTAACTGTTGGTCAAAATAAAAAGAACGAAAGACAGCCCCCAACTTGTCAAGAATTAAATATGAATGATTTCTGAGGCCAACCCACCATTTTTTTTATTTTCATTCTAACCCAATTGACATCAAATAATGAAAACTGGATGATCACTTGATAAGAGGCCTATTATCTTTTTTTTTTTTTTTTTGAGCCAAAAGATAAGAGGTCTATTATCAGTTATCAAACTTATCACATATTCCAAATGGTCTGTTTCTATCTTCACGAGGCCATTGGCCTGGTAAAATCCAGAGAATGAAAATTTGGGTCAACCTGCCTGGTTGAACCAGTAAATTGTAAATCAGTGCCTTAACCAATTAAATAAAATGCTTTGCTTCTGATTGATTTAATCACTGTTCAATTACAGTTTTGAGCATTAATTCTTGACCAATACCTTGACCAATTCAATGATCAGTCCGGTTTTCAATACCATGGTGAAAACATACAATTCTATATTCAATCAATTGAACAAGACACAAAAAGCTGTACCTGAATAACTGTTGAATATGGTGGAGGCATGATGAGGGAAGGCCCATTATTTGAGGTTGACAGCCTAACCTGCAAGTCATCAAAGCATCTCGATCCTCTCACTCTTCGAGTCAAAAGTACAAATAAGCTTGGTCATTAATAGAAGAGAGGTGATGTACAAGTAATACACTAGTGCTACTGGCTTAAGCTCTTGAGAACTACAATTGTGTGGTTATGAAATGAAGGATAATTACATTATCATATGTCAACTACATTACCTATAGTTGAGTAAAGATGAAGAAAGATAACTACATCTTTTTCATTGCAGAGTGGCTATAAGTAGCCTTAAGTAGAGAAGACCTATAGATTTCACACTAGCCTTGTGATGAATTCGTTTTATAGGATTCTATATGAAATTCCCTGAAACAAGAAGTACCTGATGCTTTTCCTTCCATCTTGGAAAAAAACTAGAACCTAATAGTTGGAACAAGTGATCTCTCATCTCATCATTTGTCACCAACAAGCTTTTACAGCTAACAGCTGCATATAGCCAGTACCTGTGATATATTATTGACAAACAAAATTGAAAAATTAAAAGGAGAAAACAAAACTTCGGGATTAGGAAAATGAACTTGTTCCGGTCAATACTTGTTCAGACCAATGGCATGAAAGACTCTACAATGTATAATGAACTGAAATTAGACAAGTCGATTTACTTTAAATACTTAAGAAGTATTTCATTACCAGTCATCATTGGAACCTTGAGGTGTAGCGTAAAGAGCGTCATTTTTCTTCCAATATTCTAAGAGTTTCTTGTTATGTGGCTTCCGAGCAGGACCACTAGTAACCCGACTTATATGCAAGATTACAAGTGGCAATCTTTTTGAGGGACTCATTTGTTGCAATTGCTGTACAACAGTGTTAAGCTGCAACCAAGAGAAAAGTTTTCAAATGGATTTCCTAGCAATGTGCTAATAAAGTTAGCAACTTAGCACCCACCTGCAAAAAGCTGAAATTATGCGTGCTGACAAGGCCTACATTGGCACCATCTACAACTGCATCAAAAGGACCATGTTGTTGAAGCCACTTCTGAAAAAGTTTAACTTTCCATATCAACCACTATATCATGAATAATTATATATATATATATATAGATAAGAGAGCTCAAGAAATAAAGTGTAAAACCATCATCAAAGCATGCCTCCCAAGCAAAAAGGAGCTTTTCAACTAAAAGCATGAAGTTTGTTCCCATGGCAACAACAACAACAACAACACCAAGCCTTATCCCATTAGGTGAGGTCAGCTTTTGTTCCCATGGCAACAGCTCTAATAATTAGTTTGATTATGACTTTCCTACCCCCTGCATCCTAATGTTTATGACTCATGTCCAATTGATAACACGTCATATATGTAGGTCACTAAGTTCAAAATGACCCTTTATTGTCTCATGCAATAAACGCCATAAAACTAAAATGTTTCATAACAAACTGAAGTAGGAGAATCCATAAATATTCATATGAAAATAAAAATATCCAACCATTGACACCAATGCACCATTACTTCCCCTGATACTACCATGTATTCTTTAAGCTAATGAACTTAGGTTAAAATGAATTTTCGTATCAAAGTATTATTACTGAATAGTAATAATGATTAGGGGTAGATTATCGCCATGCAACACAACAGTAAGGCCAGTACTTTGCCAAGTAAAGAGACCAGGATAATAAAACTTGGCATTGTAAATATTTATCTGTTTTGGAAATTTAAGATTTCTATTGGTGCATCATATATCTTATAGCTGGTAAAATATAGATCATAGGGAAAAGAGGTTAAGCTGAGATCCTCAAAACTATCAAACAACCCTTTCTCTTTTAGGCACATTCTTATACTTGACTTGACCCACTTTGTTTACATAGAAAGTACTGGTTTACTATTTGACCTTTCCAGGTGAAGTTGATTTAGGATTATATCGCACTTCTAACCAATGTTTAGAAGCATTCTTTTTCTACACTTCTTATGCATCAGTGCTACTCATGATTCCAGCAAATGATTACTTGTAAAGAACAAACTGATTTCTGTATACAAGTCTAATCAATTTGCAAAATGAAAGTGAAAAATGACATAGCAGCATATGAATATATTCAGCTCTATGTGCAAAATTCTTTTATGAATCCCAGACATATGTTATACCTGAAAATGGTTAAAGTTTGCCTTAGTTTCTCTTTCGCAAGCCAATCTAGTTAATGAGGTAGCAAAATTTTCAGTCTCTTTTGGATCAATGTCAATGCTCACAAGTTTCTCATTGCATGAGAGACACATGCCAGCATCATTTACATGAGTCTTCACCACCTTCCATTGCCCACTTCCAAGCCATCCTTGCCCATGCCATCCTCCACCTCCCTGAGCAATCCCTTTTCTTACCATGCAAACATCCCAATATTTTTCTCCAACTTTTGCTGCATCTTCCGAGTTGAACCAATCTTCAATAATTTGAACAGTTGATTCTGACACCTGCCTCACAGTAGCACGTAAACGGTGCAACATTTCATAGACCTTGTCTTCCTTTTTTGCATCAACACTAAGTTTTAGAAGAGCAGAAAGCTCAGGCTCTTCAGCCAGAATCCCAGAAGCAATCATATCAGCATCAACTTCATAAGCTTTATCTGCATCTCCTCTCTCGCAGAATCCAAAAAGGGAAGGTTCATATGATCTCAACTTTGGTGCAATACCACAATTTTTCATTTGCTTCAGTAATTCAAAAGCCATTTCAGGATCATCCCTTGCAGCTGCAAGCCTGGCTGTACTTGTAAATGTAGCTTCATTTGGAGCAACTTTGTCGACTAACATCTGCTGGAAAATCTCGAAACCCCTTCTAAGGCCTAAAATCATTGTATTTTCATCATTCTTGTTGTCTATTTTGACATGAGCATGAGAAGAACAAAGGTATAGTAATGAGTTATAATGGTGCAGATTCAATGCAACACCATTACTTCGTGCCTCGTCATAGAGTTTAAGTGCCTCAACAATGTCCCCACCCTTTGAGCACTCATTTAGCTTATGCCTCAAGATTCCCTCAGGAGATTCGTTGATAGCTTTTCTCTTAGCTTTGTTAGAAAGTCTACTAGTAATTCCTCCAGAGCACTCAACTACTGATGTAGCTGCTTGACTCAAAGTGCTCAAATGAGATGTCTGGTCTGCTAAGAAGCTATAGGAAAACTGTTTGAGAATGCACTTCATATTGATAGAAGAATTGTAACAATCAAGATGAGAAGAACCATAGCGATGATTCCAGCAAATGAATGGTCTTGGGTATTGGGTGAAGAATGACAAATGTGGAGCCAGTTTGACCATCAGACAACTGCGCAACATGACTTGTCAGGTTTGAGCATAACAATTTGAACATACAGCCCCCCTTCTTTGTGGATAAAAGACTTTTATATATAGCTTCCTTAACCACGATTCAAAGCAAAGCTTGATCAAATAAACTTTGGTAAAAATACTATTTACTAATAAATATAAGAAAGAACTTCCATTCTTAATGAAAACCTTGCTTAGTGGCAACTTGTCTCTGATAAGGGATAGAAAAGCATTTGCATGCAAAGTGAAAACATCCGTTAAGATGTCAACTGGATTTGGAAGAGTTGCATGGTGTAACGCGCAATGATCCACTCTAAATCAGAAGAAGATAAAGAAATATCATCAGCAAAAAAATGCACAGCTTCTTTGGCTCCCTTATAACCACATTCAAGAAAAAGGAAGAAAAGACAACTGCAACAATATAGTTGAAAGTTAAGATTCCACAATCTTTCAGCCCAAAAAAATATCCAGGGACTCGAATTGCAAATTTAAATACATTTCAAATCATTGTGAGGATTCAAATTGCATCCATGTCCCAGATAAAATCAATTGCAGATTTACACCTATATCGTTCTAGTAATTCAATCAACACATACCTTGAGCTTATGTTTGGGTCTGCATTTTGCAAGCTCAAAATGAAGCTAGCAACCCAAAACACAGTTAACCTGTCTGAAAACCAACAAAGACATGGCAAAATTGAAACTATGTTCTTCCTCTAAACCACGTTACTGTAGAAGCAACCCACACCCTACTTCTGTGCTGAAGATATCCGTTGAAAGCATTAATTCCAAAATAAAAAACTTTCAACAACCAACAATACTCTCATCTCTATTCCATTCCTGCTTCTCCTCTTCATTCTTGATAGAGGTAACAATCCCAGTTGCAAAAATGTGAATTCAAAAGGCAACAATTCCATTTCCAAAAATCATCATTTCCAGAATTCACATTCAAAACCCAGGCAAGAAAAATAGCCACAACACTGAGAGGGAAGAATCAGAGGATACTAACCAGCGCCTTTCATAGCTTCACATTCACGTCAGTCCAAACCTCACAATAACAGAGCCACCGGCAATGGAATAACAGAGGAGAGGAATAGATAGATATTTACGGAGTCGTGAAGATGGAGGCCTGTGAGAGATAAGTGGATGATGAAGAAGCTGAGACAAAGTGAAATGCTGGTCGTTTTGCAAGGCACTTAAAAAACACCAATCAAGACAATGGTTCAAGCCTCAGTGATCCAACCGGATAGACCAGCGATGATTAAAAAATTTACAAAAATAATTACATTTGACTATAAAAAAGTAATATTTAAATAAGAAAAGACTTCAATCCTAAGATAAGTAGCTAAATAGCAATCCAAGAATGGGTATTTTTTTAACAGCAAAATTAAAACCTCATGGAAGAAACAACTCAACAGTAAACTTGTTGCAATGTGTGTGTGCGTGCGTGTGCGCGCTTTCTTGCCAAAATGACGAACCTCATCGAAGATACGGTACTGAAACTTGATCCAATCATTTGATTACAAAAAACAAACACAAGTTTATTGGGAGGTGAACAGAACACCCTCCCAAGATTTAGCACAATTACATAACTAATACAATACTAGCATACCAAAACATGGAGAGTGAGTGGGAGGGAGAGCAAACCAGAATGGAGAAAAAAGAACGGACTGTGAGCTTGACGGGGAGAGAATGACAAACTAAGGACACAAGCTTGACAGGGAGAAAACAGAACGAACTCCGAAGAAGCCACGACGGCGCGGCGACGGACAGAGGTCACAAGCAGCAGCCAAGAGAAGAACAGCACCAGGATTTCGACAAGATGAGGTCACGGGCAGTCAGTAGCAAATCGAAGAGCACATCAGCATTCAAAAAACGGATAATGTTTGAGGATGACGCTGTTGAAATGCTTCAGACCAAAACTGAAAACCGAGGCGAAGACAGGAAGCAGGGTTAAGGATGGAAGGGTTTACTTAGGGACTTTTGTGACGTGTAGACAGTAGGGCCTAAAATCAGCTCTTAAAGGTCTCAGACCTAAATAAATTCACCCTAATAAACAAGATTATATTTAAGGCTCATTTTATAAGTTCTAGCCTTTAAAGCCTCGATTTTATTTTTTTTATTTTTTTAATTTAAAATTTTAAAAAATATATTTATAATTTTAAAAAATTATTATATATAAAATTAAATTTAAAAAAATAAATTTAAATCAATTTACACCACAACAAATAAAGAAAACTTAAATATTCAAGTTTAATATTAAATAGCAATATCAAAATTAATATCAATAAAAATTAGACTTGACTAATATTATCAATTAAATCTTAATGAATGAATAAGGAAGGGGCAAATAAATTTAATATATTCATTTCTTTTAGTTATATATTTAATCTTCTATTTTTTTATATTACAATTTTAAAAAAACTAATAAAACAGTTTTAAAATGGCCGGTCCTTTTATTTTTAGGCTTAAAAGGAAAGCCTAAATTACCATTTTTCTGCCCAAAGTAGCAGCCCGAATCTAGTTATTTTCAAGTTTAAAAAGATTGATCTGACAAGCTTGGCTCTAATTGATAACTCTATGCATAGAACAGAACGACGCCGTTTAGTGGATAAGATATACGGGGAAAGGAAGTGGAAATCATTTATTTATTTATTTGTTCTCAATAGTTAAGACATTTCCTTCACTTTTTATTAGGCTTTTTTTACCAAAATGCTGTGTTTAGTAAAAAAAAAATTATGTTGAAGATTTCGCAAAATGATAACATATTAAAAAAGTATAAGGATTGAAGATAAAATATCAAATCAATAATAATAAGTTGAAATCATTCAGGCAATGAACGATTTCACGTTTAGTGTAATAAAAAAATAATTTTTTATTCTAAAATCATTTCAGGCAAGAACGACTTCTTTAAACCCAAAGTCGTTCTTCCTATAAACAATTTTTGGTGTAGTGTTTTGAAAAATATTTTTCACACTGCAACATTTCAAAAGAAATTTTACTGTATGCAGCATTTTGGTAAAAAAGCCCTTTTTATTACAAGTGCTCTTTTGTTTTTATTAAATATTGGTAGCAAAATTTGGCCAAAAAAAATATTAGTAAGAAAAAGTATATTATTAAATTATTAAAACATGTATATGTATATACATATTAGTTGGTGGGAGAAAGCATGTTAATTGGTTATTTATACGTTGCACGGGGATGTTGTTTTTGAGAATTCCTTTAGTGTTAGATGAAAGCAATTAGTGTATATTTTAAGTAGTTATATGAGTAAAGCAATAAAAAAAATTATAAGATCAAGAAAAAGGTATAATGATACTATGATAGATAAATTTTAAACAGATCAGAAAGTTAAATACAACAAATCGTTATGCTAAAGATAAAGAAAAAGAGATGGACAAAAAAAAAATAATAAAATAAAATAAAAAGTATGGCATTAACAGGGGATGGTGAGTGTCGTACATCATTTAGATTATTAAAAATCTCCTTGCACACTTATATTGAATGTAACATTCGTCGGTTTATCATTTGTGTTAAGAGTTAACGTTTTTGACCCTTGCCTACTTTGCAGTTGAGATACAATAACACTTATTTAGTCATTTGTAAAAGTAGGTTTTGGCAAATATAACCCAACACTAATCAAGCTTTAACCTTTATTTTTGTTTATGATCATAACAGAAGACAATAAAACAAGAAATTGTCTTCTACAAAGAGAAAATAATAGTTAAGAGTCAAAAAATAACATATTAATTCTTATAATGTAGATCTTTATCTCAATATTTAATTATGAAATTGTTTATACTTTTAAAATATGTTTTTCTGTTTAAGTAGCAATCAAATGCATGCCATTACATTTTACAAAAACCAAGATATTTATCAATATTTCTAAAAAAACATAATAACCTTAAGTTTCAATACATGATTTGAGAGACTGAATACTGATATTGAATTTAGAAATCCAATAAAATATAAATTGTGCATTGAGTCATTATTTTCATCTTATTCATACATTATTTGAGCTTAAATGCTAGAATTGGGAAACGGACGGGCTTAGCCCTTATGGCTTGACCCATAAGGGCTTGAGCCTTTAAGCTTGATTTTTTATTTTTATCCATTTTTTGAAGTCTGGCTCTCATTTGAAGGAACTTAGGGTTGGGTCTGTATGCCTTATTCTAAAAAAATTTAAAAAAAATTAAGCATTATAAATTAATTAAAATATTCTAAAATTAAAAAAATTAAAATCCTCAAAATCTTTTAAAAATTAAACAACACACATTTAAAAGTTTAGTAAGAAAATTAAAATCTTGATTAAAAAATAGTTCATTTTTTTATAAATACACAAACATAATAATTATAGAAAAATAAAAAATGTTAGAAATTTTATAATGTACATTAATATTTATTAAATTATATTAAATTAATTTTAGAATAAATTAAAATTAATAATAATGTAATGCACATAGGATCAAAGCTTCAAGCAAGCAGGTCCTTCTTAGCTTCAAATGCATGTTCTATGAAAAAAAATTAATAATAATATAGCAGGGGTTTGAGTCCTTTTCTATAGGGCTTATTAGGGCTAGACTCTCAAATTCAGTTATTTTAAAAAAATTAATTTTTAAAATTCAAACTCTTATTTAAACAGGGCCTCCAGACTGGCCTTCCAGGCCCGGCCTTTATTTCTAACTCTATTAAATACAACACATTTTCTCTATGAATCATGAATAACATATGTTCATTAATCTCATTCATAGTAAACAATATGAGCATTAACACGATCTTATATGTGAAATAAAGCTGGGAACTGAGACGACCAATAATATTTGACTATATAGATTCAGCCACACACTATCGTTTTACCCCGAGCATGATATAAAATGCCATCTATAACAGTGATCTTTGTCTTCCCATCAATATCCCTTCCAATTGTACCATCTCTTAAGAAAATAATCTATTTTATCTCATCATGATGACTTTCATTAAATAAATTTTTTTATAAGCTTCAAAAATATTTTTGATTCAAAAAATTTATTATTCATTAATAATTTTAATTTTTAAGAATTAGCATGTATAGCAAATCAACATATGAAGATTCAATTCAAACAAAATAAATTTAAAAAAAATATATAATTACGCCATGTCTTAAGGCCCTTTGGGCTCAAACTCAAATCCATGCCCATGATGGTGCTTCTGAAAGTCTAGTCCAATAGTCCTGTCATATGAAGCAACCTGCTCAACCTCCAGACATCACTTCTTTTGGTCGCTACTTGACCTTCTTAAGCAGCCGCCGGCAACTCTATTTTAGGTTTTGATCCTAGAGGTGAAGGAGACTGCGAGCTATGTCCTGTCTCGCGATCAGAGATTTCTTCTTTGATTGTTACATATTATTGGAAACTTGAGGCACCAGGTAGCCCCTTGCATCGCAAAGTCTCGTTGCAAGGAAATCACGAGAAAAAGGTTTATAAGGTGCAAAATTCAGTGTTGGCACGACCATTTTCATTATCGGCGACGAAAACTAGGGTTTTCCTCTCCCCGGTATTTGGTTTGCCATAAATTGTCAATCTTGATTCGGTTGATGTAGTGGAGTGAAGTGATACTTTTCGATGAGCAAAGCAACATGATGAGGACATTTTAATCTGAATATGATGTAGAATATTAGTCTCATATAAGGTCTTCAAAGTTCTCTGATTGCTTTGCTACCATACTGTGAACTTGTAGTTAAAGTGGTTCAGTAAGTCCTGATGTAGAAAGACGCAGAGTGATTATTTTTTACTTTTGGTTCTGGAGTGATGTTCTTCAATGAGCAAAGCTAAATGATGAAATCACTTAGATCTGAATTTGATGTAGATCTAATGTAGGTCTTCAAAGTTCTCTGATTGCTTTGCTATGATACTGTGAACTTGTAGTTAAGAAGTTCTGGAAGTCCTGATGTAGAAAAACGTAGAATGATTTTTTTCTTTTCGGTTCTGTAGTGATGTTCTTCATTGAGAAAAGCAAAATGATGAAATCAGTTAGATCTGAACTTGATGTAGATCATTTGTCTAATATAGGTCTTCAAAGTTCTCTGATTGCTTTGCTATGACATTATGAATCTGTTCTTAAGTAGTACTTCAACAGCTCTGATATTGGTGATTTTGATATGAAGTCTTTATACTCTGAATTTAATGTGAAGCATCTGAATTTAATGTGAAGCATCTGTCTCCCATTCGGGTCTTCAAAGTTCCTGTATCTTGAAGATCTGTAGTGTGCTTCAATATGCCCCAGCACTTTCTTTTCCCCTAATTTCTTTTGAGTTTTTCTCACTTCCTTGGGAGTTTGTATAGTGAGAAGGATTTCTTGGGTTCATAAACTGTCTAGTATTGAACTTCAAAGGCACACTCAAGCCTCTGGTTTCCTATGATTTGATACTCTTGATATATGATAGTGAAAATAAGCTTACTAACCGCACTTTTCTTACAGAACAAAAGAATGATCTTTTCTGACTTTTATTTTTATGTAGTTTTTTTCTTCCCGGAAATTCTTTTTCCCCCAGCTAATTCTTTGTTCTCAATAGAAGCTGAAAATAAATGAGAACTGAAACTGGTCTTTAAGAGCAAGGAAAGAGAAGTGATGGGATTTAAAGTTATCTGGTTTCTTTGATAGTGTTGCTACTGGTTTGACTAATAACAGTGGCTTTCCAATTTTCACCCTATCCAACAAGGAAGCTGGGATGAGAAAGGGAACAATGTTGTAGAAAGAGTGATTTTACCCTTTTTTGTTAGATTTTCTATTGAACATGGATGGGAAATAAGAGTAATCAGTAATGTATGTCTCGAACATACTGGAGATTGATGAAATGTTTTAACATTTGGAGGTGCAGCAATGACTTAAATACTTTGCCTACAGCAAGAAAACTCCCAAACATGTGTTGGGGCACTTCTCTTGCCCTTTTATCCCCCTTTCCACATCTTATCTCCCAACCTAGTTATTCAGTTAGTGAGAGCAAAAATAATTCTTGGTTGGTTTCTCATAGCAGTGAATGAAGATCAAAGAGAATACTTATGGAAATTGTTGAACGATATTTCTTAGTTACCAATATTTCTAAAAGTTTGGTTGATGATAAAGCACAATAACGTTGTACAATCTATGTAGGCAATCTTTACCTAGTGAGATAAGGCTTGTTTATTGTTTCTTTATTTTTTATTCCCCTTGTTGGTTGGTTTCTCATAGCTATTCAATCAAGGGTAAGGTCGTATGTGCTTGCTCTTGGCTGCCCTGTTAAATTTGTAACAAATAGAGGTGAGATAGAATGGGAAAAAATTAGGGTCGAAATAGTTGTGTGTTTATCAAGTGAAAGCCATTATTATGTAGCAAAATTTCTCATTTTCCTGATCAAGTAATCTAATGTGCATTCTGCATTGTAATATATTAGATTATACAAGCATGGTACAACAGAGATGTCATTCTTCCCTCTGTTCATTTGTCTTAATGAAATGAGCATTAAAGTACTATTGGGGCAGGAAATGTGAAACTTTTTATCAGAAAATCTGATATCAGCTTTATTAGAAAACTTGTGGGGTTAGTTTCATTCTTTTGGATGCATTGCTTAAGTGATTTTCTTAACATATGTTCCACAATGACATCTTTCTTTGAGAACTGAGAAGTTATTTATACAACGAGCCAAAGAAATTGTGAACATCATCCTTGTGACTTTGATTGCTTTGAGACTCATCGTGTCTAGTCTTTTTGTATCGAATGATTTTTACATTTGACTTGTTATGTTGAACTAAACGGAATGAAACATTTGCCAAGTTTAACTCAGTCTCAATGTGACTACTAAACTATAATGAAACATTATAATTTTAAGGATTAATGTTCATTTTGCCTCTGAACTACTTGCTTAGGAGTGTCTAGTATTATAAATTTGTATGTGGTGTAATATACCCCTTAAATTATAATGAAGCATTATGATTTTAACCAAAAAACCTTAATGTTTCTTGTGCATATCATGATGGTTTCTGTACACGTGTCAATATCTATGCTTTGTAGCTTGGAAGATTTGGATTGAGGGCTTCTTCCTTCTAGAAGCGAAAAAATTTTGAAGAGCTAACACTACCTTTTCTTTTATCTCAGCACTAGCTCTCACTGCTACTCATGCTTGGGAAAGCATGGATAATTCAAAAAAGTGAACGTATCTATATTTGATACGATATTCATAAGATATTTTGGCATATGAATTGCATATTTTAATATTTGTATTATGATTTTTTCTAATAAGTTTTTTTATATTACTTAAAAGACTTAAAAGAAAAAACTTGACATTTTAATTGATTGTTACAAATATCTTTATATTACTTTAGAAATTATTGTTTAAAAATTAAAATAATTGTACTTATATCTATATATTATAAATATTCACATACTTGTATTATAAAATTTTGAAAATTGATGTATTCAATCTGATAGCTTCTACCTCCTCATCTTTAAAGATATTAGAGAATAATAAAGAGGTTTTAAAAGAATTAATTAATTTAAATTAAGTTTAAAATGTTAAATTTTAAAAATGTATAAGTTCATCTTTTAATTTTATAATTTTGTTGTGATGAATTATAACTTATTTTTTAAATTTTAATATAGTTAAAGAATAAAAAAATTATTTTTTTGTTAAATTTAAAATACAAGTTGTAAATTTATTACAATGAAATTGTAAAATTAAGAGATTAAGTTGTAAATTTTTAAAATTTGACGCTTGAAATTTAATTTAAATTAATTAATTTTTTTGAAACTTTTTTGCCATTCTTCCAAAAATATTTATACTAGTTATGTACTCCTTTTCTTTTCTTTTTCTGCTTTTTTTTTTTAATTTGCCAGTGTAATTAGGGATGTTGATCCAAGTTTGTTCTAGGTTATCTTTTTGATAATCATACAGTGAGGAATGTTAGTGTGTGTTTGGATAGTCATGTTAATCAATTTTTTTTTAAAAAATAATTTTTGCTTCAATTATTCAAACACCAACTTTTCCAAAAAAATTGATTTTTGCTTCAATTATTCAAACACCAATTTTTCCAAAAATATTGATTTTTAGCTGAAGCTTCGGCGTTCAAATTTACAAAGGTATTGGAAAAAATTATAAAAAAGACTAAAGAAAAAATTATAAAAAAGTATAAAATTTAATAAAAATAAAATCAAATTCTCTTCTCTTTTTTTTTTCTGTTAATAAAAATTAATGTTTGATATTTAAGAATTAAATATTTTTTAATTAAATTTATTTTAATTAAGATATATTGAGTTACTTATTTACATAAATGTAAATGTTAATATTAATATAATTTAAAAAATATATTTTATTTTTTAAATAAAATGGAACAACTTTAATAATATTATATACAAATTTATTAATAATTTAATGTTGAAAAGTAATGTTTTTTGTGGTAATTTATACAGTTAAAATTGATTCTAAATAAATTATTCAAATATTTTTAATTTTGTTAAAATTAATTTTAAAAAAATAGTATTCAAATAAATGATGTCATAACATAATTAATTATTATTAAAATTTATTATTTAATTAATTATTTTAATAATTTATTATGCTGAATTGAAATTCAAACGATCATTTAGTGGCGTTTCCAACCAGTTTTGTCAGCACTGGGATTATAATACATGTTGCTTCTTCAGTACTCATGGTGGTAACTTCTTCAAAAGACGACGTTTTGCAACGACTTGTCATGCATAGTGTTCTTCCATATGCTTGCCAAAGGCCCTATTTGGTATGAGGTATTACATTTTGAAGGATTGAGAATGGGATTGGGAGTGAGAATAAATTTTAAAATGTTGTTTGGTACACCGAGGGATTAAAAAAAATGAGTCTGGGATTGAAACAAACAAATTACAAAAAAGACACAAATGCCCTCATCTTATTCCTTCTACTCAAATTTTCCAGCCATCCCTAAACCATTATTCCTTCCATCAGCTACAACGTGCTTTACTTTGTTGCAATTTGAAAAAGTTGTAAACAAACAAATAACCACCACCCAAAAATTTATGAAGCACAGATTAAAAATCTAGCAAAATTCGCAAACAATTTCAAGGGGCGAGGAGCATGAACAGATCGAGCCAATACTCAAACTCCCTCCGTCTCTATCTCCGTCGAGGAGGGCGGCTTGGTTTTCACCTGCCCTTGCTTCTGCCACACTGCTTGTGACCCAGAAATGGCGAAGATGTGATCTACATCTAGATCTGAAGAGAAGGGAAAGGGAGGAAGACAAATGGATAGACTCGAACTCGATCTCTAACCCATTAGACATGGTAGATGCAAGGGAGGTTATTTGGTTGAGGGAGAGAGATGAGAGGGCGGGGGAGGGACAAGATGGCGAGAGGATGGGGGAGAGAGATGAGAGCGCAGGGGATGACGAGGGCAGAGAGAGAGAGGAGAGAGAGAATGGGGTAATTTGGTCAGAAAAAAATCAATCCCAGGATTGATTTTCCAATACCAGTTGAGAGGTGGTACTGAATAATCCCACCTAAATGGGATTGGGTTTGGTATTAAATTTTTCAATCCCTCCTACCAAATATAAAAACATGGGATTACTCAGTCCCAATATCAATCCCACTCTTTCAATCCTTCGTACCAAACAGGGCCTAAGATTCTTGCGTTTGCATTTAGCCCCGAGCGCCCATCATTACGTGGCTAGAATGTAGCCTTTCATTTTATACTAAAATGATCTCAATCGTTCATTTTAAATTAATTTTTAAATATTTTAAATATTATATTTATTAATATAAAAATTATAAAAAATCTTGATATTAAATTTGGGCTGTCTTTTGTACTCATTCAAAAATGAGAATTATGATACTTATAATATTTGATGAGATCTAAACCATCTAAATTTAATTTTTTTATATTTATCATAATCAAAAATAATAAAAACTGTAATCAATTTGTTTATTACCAATTTGGCCAATACAAATTTAATTTAGAAGGTCCAATTTAATATTAAAAATTTTTATAATTTGACTATTCAGATATACTCTGAATAGTTTAGCTATAATTCAGATGACTTATAAATGTATTCTAAATAGTCTAGATTTAAT